TAGACAGGTTTTGCTGGGATGCCTCAAGGCATTTAGGCTGCAAGTTATATGCACAGAAAGAGGCTCTAGAGATGGTCCTGATGAGTCCCTGACCATGAAAAATGGTTGAAGACTCACTGGAATAACTCTCTAATTGATGTCTGTGCAAGCCATATTTGTCTTTATTTATCTCTTTTCACAGTAGTCTGAGATGGCCCCTAAGTTTAGAGACTATTAAATACCTATTCAAAATAAGATAAAAACTTGTTAGGCATAGGGCCTAACAGTAATAGTAATACTAATACTAATATGTAACAACCTAGTTAATAGGTAATAAATAGTACTAGGTTGAATCCTTAATGTCAGCCATGACCACTGTGTTCTGACTCCATTTGTGTTATATCTGTGCAAAGCTAAGTCTTTACTAAGCTTTGCAATCCATTCCACAGCTTAGGTATATTACTTATATCCTTTTATCATTATGCATTCACTTTGTGAAGGATTTCCAATGCAAAGCATTCCTTTGTTATCTTTCCTCATCCATATTGGATTCATACTATACCTTTTATATCCTTTCCTTTGTTCTTCACTTATGAGCTAACCCATTCAGGCCTGGCATCACTTTGCGATCCTGAATTAACTATAGTATAAAGCTATGGTATCAAATAGGTAGTTCCTTAGTTTAAATATCAACCTTGATAGCACTTCAATAGTGATACCATTTAATCAACTATCCATATCATCATTTTAACATCCCTCCTGTCAGTACATTCCATGAAGGTCATTGCAAATGGAACACATTTATCTTTCTTCTCTATTGGACATGCAAAGTGTTGAGGACTCTACTAATAGTGGAGTCAAGGTCCAACTAAATGTCTTAGGATTGTTTACCCTCGCGAAGTATTTCCCTTTGCCATTTCCCATGATTAACCCTGTGACCACTTTCTGACAATCCATTAGTACACAATCATAACAATTTGTCTCAAGGGTAAGCTTGTTGATGATTCAATTCCAAGCTACACAAACTTACCAGATTTGATTTAGGGACAGTGATGCAAGAGATTATGGGCAGAATGGAATTGATAAATACATCAAAGTGCATAAATGTGTTAACCATTATAGTGTCAGTGACTCGCTAGCTCTCACAAGAGATAACCAGGCATCACACAATAGATGATGAACGAGAGGGTGAAAGAGCAAAAAGAGGATGGATATAACAACCCAATACTAGTCTAGCTACCAAGGAGAATAGACGAGAATAGAGCTAAGGAATATAACTACAAAATACTAAGTCTTATATACTAATGGGATATGAAGCCGTGAGAGATGTCTCGCGCCGTAACCGTGAGGATCTACAATAAGAGTCGCTTGTATCCATAAGTAAAGCTGTAGGTATTAGGTGAGTAAACAATAAGGCAATATAAAAAGAAGCATGGAAGCGGAACAATAATGACATCGTCCTGTCAATGAGCTGACAGGCACGAGAGAGTCGCATCTAAGTGAAACGACAATGCGAGAACAATAAGGTTGATGCGTGTAACCTAAATGATAATGAGAATATAATGAGCGCTGGTGTAAGCGCCTCAGTGATTAGGTAAGTAAATAAAAGAAAAGGAAAAAGAATAATAAAAGAAATGAATAATGAAAAGATTGTTTCGTGACATATAGATTATTGAGTTTAAAGAGATTGGGTAGTGATTTTGATGAGGAAGAGGATGAAGAGTCTTAATTAAGGTATAATCCTGGACCTATGAATTAATCTTCAATGATTTTGTCAAAGAAATTTACTGGTAGTCTTTTTGCCACTGTATTGACCAACCCATCGACAAGTTAAAACAATGCCGGAACGAACCCGCCGGACCAAAAATCAAATATCAAAAAAAGAAAAAAGGAAAATCAACCATGCCCTTCTCGAGTGCGTCAACTGTGCCGCTGCATGGCACTCTATCAACACTCCATCTTATCATTTTGACCTTGTATCATGTAAAGTATTTAGAACGTGACTATGTTACCTCACTTCCTGTCACGATCATTTCAATTGGGGCTAGTTCTGAGAGGGTTACAGATCATTGTTGGCGTCGTGGCAACCTTGATGTCCAAGCATGGCCACCCTGGGGATGGTAGCTTGTACAGACAGTGTCAACCCAGAGGTGGCAACACTTTCCGGACAGATGGATTCCATTTCTGCGAACACCGAAATCACCCATGGGTTGTTCGAGGTATGGCACGTGACGCAGGAGACGCCAGTTCCAGAGGCTGTGCAAAATCCCGGACAATCACACACTGATATAATACCTGAGAAACAAGTTCCTCCTCTCATCTTAATTTCTGCTGTCAACGCTGAGCGTGTCCAGCTGTATCCAAATCCGGTCTAATCTGCTGCGGGACGTGTACTTCTCGAGCAACCAATCCAGTAACATCTACCCGTCGTTATAACTGGCCCTGTACCCTGGCATCACCTTTGTCGTTGGACTGTCACTATCTCGTCATCGACTAAGACGACTTCAAAGTCCTAGTGAACCGAAGGCCAATTAACGACTCTCTTACGACCAACTATTTTTGTAAAGTAAGTCTGGAAAATCTACAAGCCTTCAGTATCACTCTATTCGCCTGTCTTAGGTGGCTTACTCTTCTTCCAGATATCCACATCTTGTCGTTAACCATCATGGCTTCGACCGCATCGCTTTCATCTTCCAGCCTCTCTACTTTCGCCTCAATAACTACCACTGGATTTGCAACTTCTTCGACTACATCTATCCAATCCGGCACTCCTAGCGGTGGAAATTCCACGAGCAACAACTCAGGCTCGGACTCTGGGGGCGACAATATTGCGAACTCTGCTTCTCTCTACCGTACGTTTTCTCTGTATCAAATGAATGGCCTATACTAGACAGTTTTCAATAGTCTATACCTTCCTTGCTACGCTTGTTCTGCTCCTCGGCGTTTCCGCCGCTATCGTTGTTCGCTCTCTTCTTCTTAGACGGCGTCATCGTCGCATGGTTGAGGAAGCGATTAGAAATGGCACGTATGTTCCACCAAGTGTGATAGCAACCGCTCGAGGGAGGGTGGACCTGGCCATGAAACCAAAGATGTGGGAAGCAACGGCCCGTAGCGAATGGAATGGGAAAGAAGGTGGATGGGCAGATATTCTTCCAGTATCAGCTTCGATATCGTCTGCCATAATACCGCAGTCTAACACATTTCAACACAATGGTGTTACGTCCGACTCTAGTGGCGGTAACATCAACGGAAATTCAACTTCTATTGATACAACAGCTAGCCGTCTACGTTCCGTGGCTACTGCTCCTGGACGCGTAGTTGTAGGAATGTGGAGACTTATCTCACCTGGCTCGCACCACCCTTCCGACTCTGAGTCTAACTCTCCTGCTTTGAACAACTTCCACACTGTTGAGATGAAACCACATCAAACACTACCGCACGCAGAAATGACCGCTCCAACACATTTGGAAGTTGCCGTATTAATTGCTATGCCTGGTGCTTTGGCGGCCGTGGCTAGTCGGTCAAAGGAAGGTGCTGATGAAGAGGACCTTCCGCATGTCGAAGTGGGGATGGCTGAAGTTATAATACCCATAGATACCTCGTCTACTCAAAGCTTGCAGGAAGGATCTTCCAGTTCAGAGCAGCCGTAAGGCTGTTAGCGACGTTATACGACCGTGTTATCTTTGTTTTGGACTGTATTGTGTTATAAGACATCGTTCATCACTTGTATAGTACGATTAGTCTGTGTCCTTTCGTGTTAGTTATAATTCAACTCTTAGCGCATTGTTCGACGGGTTTTCTTTGTTTCAAGACACGAATTTTATAGATACTGAGCTTTTGTAGTTGTGTGTGACATTCCAGACCCGTTCCGAACTCCGAGTCAGGACAAGTTTGTGGAGCGGCACAAATTATTTCAGTCCCTTCTTTTCCATCATCATGTCCTCTCTATCCTCCTCCGCTTGCTCATCCCCCTTAACCCCTACAATGCCCAAAACACCGGGCACTCCCAATTTTCAGAATACTTATTCTCATCCTTTTGCCAACTCGAACAAGAGGTTAGAGATAATACGCAACCACGGAATCGACATTGAAGAAGAGGCCAGGTTGTACGATGAAATGTGCTTCGAGGAAAGGATGCCTTCGAGAGCCAGACCTTCAGTAGAATACGAGAGACCAGCCTCTATATTCTCGGCTTCCGAGAGTACGAGCATCTGGCTTGGTGATAATGTTGGAGAAAGTTTAGCTTTCGCACGGGATGTGCAGATTAGTGGCTGGACGAATGTGGGCGACAAGGACAAACTCGGAGGGGGAGCATACGTTGGTACGATTTTTCAACGCTATGATATCCTTCTTGTGCTCATTAAGGGGTCCCTCAGTATACGATTGCGTTGTGAAAACAAAACAAGTACGTTCGTCTCAATCAGTATCCTTTATCCATTCACAGACTCTTGACTTAAGGGTACAACAATACACGCCCACAAACGCTATAACGCCTTCGTGCAGCTCCACGCTGGGTTGAAACGTTCTTTACCCGTGAGATCTATATCAGCGCGATCAATGATAGTTTTTTTGACTGTATCGTCAGCGTCATCAACAACGATATGTCCCTCCACTTCCCCCAAAAGCACCATTCGCCCGTTACCGACCAGCTTTTCTTGATCAACGCCGTAGACAGCTCGAATACTGGCTTTCCGCTGTCCTACTTCACCCGGACGTCGGCGCTTCAAAAGCAGTACGACAATGGATCATGAATTGATTCCGGCCATGTACACTGTTCTTTACCCTTTGTTCAAGTTCAATTTCTGTGTCCGGCCACCTAGGGGCCCGACAGAGAAGCTGCTCGGAGGTCTAGGAAGGAACTCGTATCTTATGCGGCCATTTCGATTAGTGGGAGGGGAAGGCACCGTGATAGGGCTTGGGCAGACATACACTGATGCTACGTTTAATTCGCAACAGTGACACTCATTTGAATCGCCGCACATGAAGATGGATCTGAGGGCAACTGCTATTTCGTTCCCAACGGCCTGATGGTCTAGGAGTATGATTCGTTGTTAGGGTTCGAGAAGAACGTTCGACGAGGTCCCGGGTTCAATTCCCGGTCAGGCCCGTTGTTTTACTGTTTTTTTGTCTCAAGGAAGCGCAATTCGTATGAGGATATGTACTGGGAGCAGACGCGTGCTGTTTTCGAGCTCAAGCGTGATTTTATGATTGGGGACCTGATACGTGAACATTGCAACGCAACAGTGGCGGCGGATCGGATGTGGAAAGCTAGAGGCAGCAACATAGGCGTGTATCAAGAATAAAAAGTCCGGTTAATATCACTGGTGTAGGTGGTCGTCAACTCCACAAAAATAAGCAGGAACCACCATGGGCCTGACCGGGAATTGAACCCGGGACCTCTCCCAATGAACTCGAAATAACGAGCGGCAACAACCCGAAGGGAGAATCATACTACTAGACCATCAGGCCGACAATTAGTGATGGGGTTTCATTGGACAACACCTGGAAAAGTGGTCTATTAGCTTCTATCAGATGACCATCTATTGCTAGGCTGCTTGGAGCAACAGAAAGGTCAAGATAATCCTATGGGAATCCTAAAGGAGTACCGAGCTCAAGCTCTGGCAATTTGTAGGAGAGACAGATGAGCTAAGAGGCAAGGGTAGATGAGAAAAACAGAGAAGTTCATACCTAGTACATGAATTGTTTCTTGTGTATTTCTCTTATACAATATCTCACATACAACAAAACATGGTGAACATGAAGATAGAGTTTAGCAAGATGAAAACAGGGAGGTAAATGCCAGCTGCACATGGCCTACCAAAAGTCAAATACATCCCAGTGCCTGTGAAACAGATCTTCGCCGTATCAAGCCATTTCTTCTTGTGTGCTGTTCAATTCTTCTTCTGACATCCAGGGCCACAATACCTAAACTTTCAAACTTTTGACATTTCATCTACATCCTTTCCTTCACTGCAGCCGCAGAGGGGGATGAATCTCCTTAGAAAGCAGTTTCCTGTCTCAAACATTGTACTTGCAGTTCTCTTTGTGGGTCCAAGAATTGTGGCAGCATTCAACAAATCCTGGGATGAGATGTTTCCACAAAGCCACATTTCCTTCCATGAGTACACTGGCCACATCCCTGGCACTGATGAGCTTGGAGAAAGAATGTTGGTGATTTCTCTTGTGTCCATTTTTCATACCAAAGTCTGAAATTCTGTCTGAAGCTGCTGACTGAGTATTACACTGAGTAATTACATCCTCCTATTTGTGTTAGTGAGGCCCCAGAAAGTGTATACAACCAACCATCCATTCTGGCAACTGTTATGATTGTGCACTAATGGATCATCAGAATTGGGTCACGGGGTTAGTCGCGAGAAACAGCGAAGAGAATTACTTCACAAGGTAAAACAATCCTGACTAGGTAGTTGGACATTGACTCCACTACTAGTAAAGTCCTCGACACTTCATGTGTCCAATATAGAAGAAAGGGAAATGTGTTCCATTTGCAATGACCATCACAGAATGTACTGACAGTAGGGATGTTATAACAATGATATGGATAGATGATTAATTGGTATCACTATCAAAGTGCTATCAAGGTTGATATTTAAACTAAGGAACTACCTATTTGATACCATAGCTTTATACTAAAGGTGAGTCAGGATTGCAAAGTGATGCCAGGCCTGAATGAGTTAGCTCATAAGTAAAGAACAAAGGAAAGGATATAAAAGAAATAGTGTGAATCCAATAAGGATGAGAAAAGATAATGAGTAAATGCTTCGTGTCAGAAATCCTTTGCAAAGTAATTGCGTAGTGGTGACAGGATATAAGTGACATATCTAAGTAGTGGAATGTATCGCAAAGCCTCATAAAGACTTAGCTTGCATAGATATAACAGCAACAGATTCTGTTGAATTTTTGGAACACCCAGTATCCACTGGTTCTGCAAGTTTAGATGCATCTGCTATGCACCTACAAACCTGTATAGACAGGCAAATACATGGAGTGAAGGTCCCAGTGTGTGTTATCTGAATTATCATCAAATAATGTGTATTCTGGCAGTACTCTATTGGTTCCAGGGATGTGTTATGATCATGCACTAATGGATTGTTGGAAAGGAGTCATGGGGTTAATCACAGAAAAAGGTGAAGGAGAATACTTCGCGAGGTTAAATGATCCTAAGACTTGTAGTCAGACCTTGACTTCACTATTAGTAGAGTCCTCAAGACTTTGCTGTCAGGAATGACTAACACTACAAGTAACTCTTAGCACGTAGGCACCTGTCGTAGGGCACTTGTGTCCTGTGACTGGGTGTCTAGATATTCTACTTCTTTGTTTTCCTTTACGCATTCTATGTTACTCATCGGGTCCCGTACTCGGTTAACAACCCGCCGCTAACATCCTCTTGATTACTCATACTCGGTTAGCATCCGTGCTCGTATCTATCACGGACTTGTTTGTCATAGTGTTTGACCAACTATTCTATTGTAGATTAGATTAGTACTTTTGTATATAAGGTCAGCTAAGGTCTTGTAGTGACCTTAGCTTCGTTATTCAACTTGACTTCTGGGTTTCTTCTCTGAGACATCTGAGACACTTAGCTGCTTGTGGTTTTGTGTGTCGACATCGACCTCTGACATTTGCATGTCCAAGAGAGAAGAAGATAAAATGTTTTCCATTTGCAATAACCTTTGTGGAATGTACTGGCAAGAGGGATGTTAAAAATGATGATACAGATAGTAGATTCATTTGGTATCACTATTGGAAGTGCTATCAAAATTGATATTCAAACTGAGGGACTACCTATTCAATACCATAGCTTTATACTATAGGTAAGTGTTAAGATTGTTCTGGTGAGGTTCCGTAATGTCTTGAATGAGTAGGATAGATTTGGAAGTGTATTGTCAAAACACTCTGCCCTACTTCCGAGACCCACTTAGCAAACTGTTATATCTATGCAAGCTAAGTTTTACAAAGCTTCGCGAACTATTCCGCTACTTAGATATTACTTATATCCTTTTACCACTAGGCAATTACTTCGCGAAGCAATTACTTGTTATCTCTTATCATTCTTATCGGATTTACACTATCCCTTTTATATCTCTTCCTTTGTTCTTGACTTACGAGCTAACCCATTCGGGCATGGCATCGCTTCGCGATCCTGACTTACCTTTAGTATAAAGCTATGGTATCGAATAGGTAGTCCTCAGTTTAAATATCAACCTTGATAGCACTTCGATAGTGATACCAAATAATCATCTATCTGTATCATTGTTTTAACATCCTTGTTGTCAGTATGTTCCGCGATGATCATTGCGAACTGAACACATTTACTTTTCTTCTCTTGTGGACACGCGAAGTGTCGAGGACTCTACTAATAGTGGAGTCAAGGTCTGACTACTTTGTATAGGATTGTTTTACCTTGCGAAGTATTTTACTTTGTATTTTCCTGCGATCATCCTGTGATCATTCCCGACGATCCCTTTGTGCATGATCATAACACAAACCAAGACGTCTCGTACACCCGCATTCAATTCTTACACATCTTAGTTCCTCTCCGATCGATGTACTCATGTAGTTCTCCTTATTCTACTCCTAGGTACAGTTGGTATCATATATAGAGCATTGTACCTCCCTCATTAGACTTGTCGAATCAACTCTTTACTTCCTCCCATCATGCTCTCACCCTTAGGACCGTCCTGAATCCTAATATGTATGGCTGGACCCAAGCTCGTACAGTATCATATGGTTAATGATTGGTTAGTAGGTAGAAATATTAATGAAGTCAAACAAGAACCTTAGCACCACTATCGGTAGTGCCCCCACTATGTCATACAGTTCCATTTACCTTTGTAGAGTAAGGACATCCAGAAGTTGACCAGATAAGTTTGGACAACTGAGGAGTGAGACTGAAGAGTCCTGGACAGAGTTCTAGTGATGATCTAAGTTGATATTTAAACTAGAGAACTATCTACTAAACACTAAGGCTTATATACCAGTATTCCTAATTGTTGAAAGACAGGCTGGTTATGGTTCCTGATTCCAATGGCAAAGTTATATTGACAGTTCAAATAAATGAAATAAGTAAAGACATACTGTCAGCAACTTGCTAGCTCTCACAAATAATAACTAGGTATCACACAGTCAACAAGGAGTAAAGAGGATGTTAATAGAGCAGAAGAGAAGTAACCCAGATACAGGACTATCTACTGAGGAGAGTAAATGAGATTAGAGTTAAGGATCATTCTATGAAATACCTTATCTTATATATGGTAAATGAGTCCATAAGAACTATCTTGCACTATTCTCACAAGGATATACAATAAGAGTTGCTCATAATCAAGTAAATCTGTTCATATACATCAAGTGAAAAATAAGGCTATATAAAGAAAATGTGGTTGCAGAAGATAAACAGTGACAATCTGTTAATAGTTTGACAAACACAAGAGAGTTGGATTGAAGAAAGATGATAGTGCAAGAGCAATAAGGTGATTGCATTGAGAAAACACCATATTCGCTGTCACACCCGATTCATTCACCTCTTCTATACCACCCAATTCAACAACTATGCATTCTCTGTCATGGCCTTTTCTCTTGGCTTGTTTTCCCTTCCAATGTGGCCGAAATGCCTGAGGCTACTCTTTCAATCAGATTTTTGGATAAGGATGAGATTGAAAAGGATCACCAAATCCCCTAAGGTAGAATATTTGCAGAAGATCGGAAGGATGGTGATTTAGGCTCTCATACCAAGGTCGAGGAGCAAGCACCGGGCGTCGCATTCAAGCTTTCTGATCTTGCCCCCAACTCGAAATTCCCTCTTCCCTGCGATCCAGAATGTCACTTCGTACTAAGCAGTCGAAAGACATTCCCTCACGCTGACTCATCCCATTCACGTGAACCATCAATTTTCATCACGCAAGTAAAAGCTGGCCAGAAGAAGGGGTTGTTAACGTCAGTGAAGTGTATATAGTTGTTCTATAATCGATGTACGAAACTATCAAGCAGAGCTTCTTCCTCATTCGAAAACAGACTCAGCAAACCAACTTTGGAAAGTTTATAAAGAACAGCAGAGTCCAGAAAGCATTGCCTTGACTTGATCGTGAACAACTAACTGTGAACCTTTCCCAATTATCTGGTATTTGAGGACAGCCCTAGACCTTTTGCCTAATCGCGTAATAGTCCTGCCCCTCGTCCTTCCTTCCTAGTCCAAGTTGAACGTGAAGGCAGATGATCTACAAGTCCATGTCCAACCCGAGCTGAGAACGGAGAAAGATAAAAGGATACCAGTGCCCTGGATAAAATTTAAACTACACGTGCATGAAAATTCAACGATGACACTCACCAAAGCGTTCCTTGTATCAAAGGACTTATAATCTGGTCTCGAACCGTAACCCATAGCACATGCATCCATTCTATCTCTATTACCTCGACAGGCTGTGATTGAGGGAGAAGAATGGCTTCGGGTTTAT